TGGGAGAAGTGACAGGAGCTCACTCTGTCGCATGGATTCGATCTTACAACGGCTAGTCTTCTGCCCTTGCAGCACAGAGGCTTCTGTGATTTAACCCGCAGCGCCACCACGTCCTGGGGGATGGGTTTTAGGCAGCCAGTAATAATCCTGCATGATCCATTAACATCCATGCCATTTGGTTGGAATGTGCTGATTTATACCATACGGCACTAGCATATTCTGCTGTGGGGTAGCACAGGGACAAAACTGTTGTTCTTCTTGTTTGTGGGTGTGCATCTTAGTCTGATCCAGACATTTTCCTAAGTATGTTGTTTCTGGAGGCAACTTTTTGTTTGTTGTTTACACAATGTTTTTTGTAGGTCAGGGCTTGATTCAGAGTGGTGCCGAAATATTTTGGGATAAAGCAGTGTTCCATAATCTTGCCTTCCCAGTTAACTCAAAGCTTCATCTCTGCTTCTCTGTTCTTGAAGTTATTACCAGGTAACCACAGAAAGGAGTTTTAATTCATTAAAAGGCACATTTTAATTTTTATAAACCAACCAACCAAGCAACAAATGTGATTTTTAATATCTTGAAGAGCAAGCATTTGAATTTTGATGTGAATCTTGCCCAATATATGGAATGCATCTGTAATGTCACACCTGCACTGCATCATGCTGATAAATCATAACTATGATGTCTCAGAGGGTGATGGATTCTCCTTTATTGTAGGTTTGTAAATAGAGGTTAAATGGCTTTCACTTTGGGGTTCCTGCTTTGATAGGGATTTAAGACTCAGTGGTCCTTGGCATCTGTTCCAGTTCCACTATGTGATTCTTTGAGTCATAACTACTGTATTGAGAAAGCAACTTACTTTATTGTTGGTTATGGCAAAATGGTATTGTGTTAAGCCGCTGCACATCACAAACTTGGGCATAATGGTGCTGCTGACTTTTAGGCAGCACCATAAAGGCATTGCACTAAAGGGGTGGTATATAAATGAAAAAAAGAGTTGTATTCATGATGGTTGTTGTAGGTTTTTCAGGCTGTTGGGTGATTATGAGTGATCAACGTGTTTTTTGTTGTGGAGACACTGCAGACTAAAAGAACCGAAAAAATCGGCAGTAGCCAAACATGCCCTGAAACAAGCTATACATGAAATTCTATTTCCAAATACAGAAGTAATGGACAACATCAGAAATCATTATGTTAGACTGCACAGGGAAGCCATTGAAATCCACAAACGCCAGCAGAGCTTCAACAAAAAAGATCTAAAACTCAACAAAGCCTGGCTCCCAGCACTGAAAAATACAGCCGGCAAAAGGTCAACAAACTCTACACAGCCACAAGGACTGGGTGCTTGCTGCACACAAAAAGACAAGCTAACAACACCTATCAATCACAGTGACATATCATCCCTCCCCCTTATCACAACAATACACCCACAACAAAAAACATGCTGATCACCATAATCACCCAATCTCCTGAAAAAAGCTGATCGCACAGCTATAAATACTCAACTATCCCACAAACTGTAGCAAAGCGGAGACAGAGTTCTGACTCCTGTCCTCTGAAGATGCCACCCACAGAGACTGGCAAAACATTAGGAAGTAAAGCCTTAAGAACACAGCCAAACAGCCCGAAAAACCTACAACAACCATTGGATCCTGGTCATGAAAGCCTTTGAGAATACAAGTTGTATTCACCTTGCAGCCAGCTATGGCACGCCAACTTTACTACATTTCAAAGTAGTCTTTTAAAAATTATAGATTGCAACCTCTAGGCAGTCAAATAAGACAGGCTTCTTATTGAAGAAGATGCTGTAGTAAGTGCATGACCAAACCTACTGTGTATGCCAGAGGTAAACAACCCGGTGTTTTTCAAAGATTTGGACAGATGCCATAATAATCTTTGGCCTTGCTGGTTAGGGTTCATGGAAATTGTAATCAAAACATCTAGAGGTCACCAAATCACCTCCTACTGCTGTACATTCCAATAGCTATGGATACTTGTAAGAGCCTACTATAAAGCATTGTAATGTTGCTTCTTTAATAGCATACTATTTCTTTACTCATAAGTCTAATTCTGTCCTTTCTTATACAGTATCCTGAGACAGAAAATAATTTGATAGCACCAATTGTGCGAAAGTTACTGATGCCTAGATTCTGTTACAGAAGTAGGCAATCAGGCACATGTCAGATGGTTTAGAACACAACCCCATCTAACATAAACAAGCTAACACGACCAGGTATTATGTCAGAGATTGTACAGTGGGGTCTTGACTTGAGAACTTAATCTGTATTGGAAGGCGGTTCTCAAGTCAAAAAGTTCTCAGGTCAAATCTGCATTTCCCATAGGAATGCATTGAAAACCATTTGATCCGTATCTGCTCTTTTCCGTCCATAGAAACTAATGGGAAGCTGCTATTCCGCCTTCGACCACTAGAGGGGATGTTTTGTTTCTTAGGTCAAGAAAGGTCCAGGGAAGGCAGGGAAAATACAGTCCAGGCAGTACAGTACCAGGCAGTCTCCCAATCCACTCTCTAAACGCTGGGAGGAGTGAGGAAGCAGACAGGCACCCTTTTCACTGGCCAACAGTTAACTGAAAGTTCAAATTTTGCACTTTCCCTGCCTCCCACGTGGGTTTTTTTCAGTTCTTAACTCAAATCTAAGTATGTAAGTCAAGTCAATATTTTCCTATGAGAGTGGTTCTTAAGTCAAAATGTTCTTAACTCAAGCCGTTCTTAAGTCAAGACCCCACTGTAGTTCAAAAAATCTGGAGAGCCCTAAGTCACTCACCCCATATATTCAAACTGAAGCTGTGGAACCGGAAGTTGAGAATTTGTTTCCTTATGTGCATCCCAGAGAAGAACCAGCTTGTGTAGCCTTGGGCAAGCTATACAATTTCAGGATGCCCCCAGGAGAAGGGAATAGTAAACCACCTATGTGTACACTAAACCAAGAAAACCCTTGAAGAGTCAGTGTCAGTCAGAACTGAATTGTTTGTATGTAATTATTATTATTAATTCAATTTTGGCTTGAAGTCATAAGAACCAAATTGCAGTCTTAGACATACGCAATCGAATATCCTATAGATGCCAACTCAAAACTAAGGCTACTACTTTCTGTATGCTTACTTCAGAATAAGTCTTGCTGAATTCAGAGGAATTCGTAATTAAACATTCATAGGAGCAAACTTCACAACTCAAATTAATTCTGTATTGAGCCAAATATCATCAGTATTTCACAGCACAGAAATATTAGTATTAACACTAATGTTTCTATGATAAATCTAAAATTAATTTGTTAGCTTTAATTGCTTTAGTGAACATTGTCAAATCAGTTTGTTGTGCTAATTAGGAAGCCATTTCTTTTCAATTAAAAATAAAATGGAGTAAAATTGACCAAAAATGGACTCAAATTAACCCTCCAAAGTAACAAATTATTTATGTTTATTATGGTAAAATTATGGTAACATAAACATTAATTGATCCTCAAATGATTAAAAGTTTTGTTACAATGATTAAAAAATGATGTCTAAAACTACTCTAATTTCTTTTTACAAATTATTTCCAACAAATAGTTTAATGAATAACTTCATTCCTATACCTATATATATTCACTCAGAAGCAAATTCCCTTGAGCTGAAAGAGATTTACTTCATAACCATGTGTGTCTAAGACTACACTCAGGTAGCCCTTGTAAGAAAACCTTACTGATTTCAGTAGAGTTTGCTCCAAAACTATGGAAATGAGACGAGAGCCTTAGATATATATATATTGATTACTGATTTCAGTAGAGTTTGCTCCAAAACTATGGAAATGAGATGAGAGCCTTAGATATATATATATATATTGCAATTTGATCAGATTATCTGTTTGTGGAACATTATCATCCAAGCTTCCAATTATGACTCTTAAGTAAGTGCAATGATACAACATTTGATGTGTTCAAGTTCTTTAACCTGCACTACTTTAATTGAAAAGTGGCTCCATCGAAGATGATGTAACTTGGATGCAAGTTAGGGAGTGTGAATAACAAGTGTAAGCTACCACTGACTTCTTTTCCTTTTTGGTGCTTCTACAGGAACCAGACTTCGGTGCTCTCCATGATGGAGATCATCTGATGTGCTTCTCTCCTTCAACGGGCGGGGCTTATGTGTGTGACGCAATTCAAACAGACCAACAAAAAAAAGCCAGGGGGGGCTGAAAAGGCGTAGAAAAGGCGACCTCCCCGCCAGGGGCTTTAAAAAGAGCTCCATTTTGTGGCCGGCTGTCTGGGAAGCCGTGGCGAGATCGAGGAGGGTTGCGCGCTGCGGGTGGGGGACCCGAGAGAAGTTGAGGCGCGCCAAAGGGGTAAAGAAAAGAAAAAGACACCGAAAAAGAAAGTGTGCCTCTGCCTACGCAGCCGAGCCGGAGGAGAAGAAAGCGAGCTGTGGCAAAAGCAGCAGCAGCAGCAGCGGGAGCCTGAAGAGGGAAGCCACCGCCGATCTCTCGCAACTCGCTCGCCCGCAGTAGCGGCTCGACGGCGGGCGGCGGCGCTGGAGAGACCGAGAGTAAGCAGTCGCCG